AGTACAGTTTAAAATATGGTTCTAGATATAGGAGAAAGATGTGGGAGGAGAGAAGAAATTTGCGAATCGTCCCTGGGTAGATGATAGAAGCCATGGCTGTAGATGAAGTTGACCAAGAAGAATGTATAAAGTGAGGAGAAGAGAGGCACATGCAAATTTTTGAGGCATGCCACCATTTGAAGTTTGGGTGCAGGAAGAGGATTCTATAAAGAAGACAGATGAGGGACTATCAGAGAAGAAGCAGAAGAGGGTGGTGTCACTAAAGATACCAGGAGCTTCAGCCAGCTATAGCCAATGCTACTAATGGGACACAGGATAAGAACTGATTAAGTGTCCACTTACTGAATTTGGCATTTAGAAGTCAATGGTAGTCAAGAATAGTTTCAGAAGGCAGAAGCTAAAAGATGTAGGCTATTTTAATAGGCTTTAGTAAGCTTAACTATGTGGGGTCTTCACCTTTTTTCTGTGAGCAGGCATATTATAAGAAATTTCTCTCCCTGCCTTTGGGAGGAGACAGGATAAGCAGTCAGTCATAAAATAGGTCACAATAATATTTTAACATGTCAACATGCTAAATTCTATGTAGAACACAGAATTATGATGACTAGGGCGCCTGGGTGGCTCAGTTGGTTGGGCGACTGCCTTCGGCTCGGGTCATGATCCTGGAGTCCCAGGATCGAGTCCCACATCGGGCTCCCTGCTCAGCGGGGAGTCTGCTGCTCCCTCTGACCCTCTTCCCTCTCTCGTGCTCTCTGTCTCTCATTCTCTCTTTCTCAAATAAATAAATAAAATCTTTAAAAAAAATTTAAAAAAAGAATTATGATGACTAATGGATAGGCTGTGCAAAACTTTAAGTTCTAGATGGTCTTTCCTTGTTTTTGTTTTTTTTTTTTGAATAGATATTTCTGGACTAGTTCCACTCTACTTCATATTATAAATTCAGAAAAATACACAGTTCCTATACCTAAAATTGTAGAGGGTTACACATGTGCTGCTATTAAAATAACTTTTCAAGGAAAAGTATGAATTGTCTTTTCTTAATCTAATACCCTGAAAGGTGCTTCATGAAATCTAGCTATCCTATGAGGCCTGAGAATTTTTAGGGAATCCCTTTTGTCTGCATTGAACAGCATGAATAGGACTTTTTTTCTAAGGTACAGCACCAAGAGCCATACACAGTTTTTATCTGTGTCACCACGACCACCACACTCCCCACCAAAACAAATGACAAGCAAAAAACAAAACCCACCAAAACAATACAAAAACAAAATAAAACTCTGCAGAAATCACAACACACTTCAAGACGTGTCTTTCAACTTTATTAAAAGCATGTAATGTCCGGTCCAAATCCTCATTTTACAGTTGAGGAAATACACCCACAGTGGTTGTGACTTGTCTAAGTTTCCAAAAAGTAAGAGGCAGAGAGAACCTGGGGCTCTTGCCCGCTGGTCCAGAACAACTGTTAAAAGCCATCAGGATTATGTACCAAAAAGTCACTATCTTTAAAAATATATTGTTGGACTTTTTATGCACTATTCTTATTTTAAAAAAATTCATTGTGAGGCGCCTGGGTGGCTCAGTTGGTTGAGTGTCTGCCTTCAGCCCAGGTCATTATCCCAGGGCCCCCTCATGGGCTTGCTCTCTGTCAAATAAATAAATAAAATCTTTTAAAAAAATTTATAGTATCCATACCAGCAAGGTATTATTATTTGTATTAGCTGTGGGCTAGGATAATAGGACTTGTCCCTATAAACATAACTGGGAATTACAATAGCAATTATCACTTAATACAGAATTATCTTCGTAGATGACAGAAGAACTTGGAGAGCTGAGTATTTTGCAGTTCTTTGTAGCACGTTTTAAAGTATTTCAAAGTGAACTTTTTGGACATGCTATTAACCCACAACACTGACTCTCCATTAGCAAATAAATGACAGTCTCCTTAACTCCCTTCCAGTTTCACTGCACTCAGCATTTAACCTTGTCCTTGCTCCCCTAGACTGTCAAGCAAGTTGTACACTGGTAATCAGATGATCTTTACTTGTCCTCATCTCAGTGACTAGCAGGGTTGGACTTATCTCAAATTGTAACTGATAAGGACTCTTAGTATTACATATGCCGGAATAACATTGGAAGGTCAGCCCTGGCAGATGTTAGATCCAAATATTTTTCATTTTGTCTGTTCTAAAAGAAGGTCTCTTGGTGTGCCTGGGTAGCTCAGTTAAGCATCTGACTCTTGATTTCAGCTCAAGTCATGAATTCAGGGTCATAAGATCAAGCCCTGTGTCGGGCTCTATGCATAGTGGGGAGTCTGCTTAAGATTCTGCCCCTCCCACTCATGCTCTCGCTCGCTCGCACTCTCTCTCAAATAAATACGTAAATCTTTGAAAGAAGGCCTCTGGGAATCCTATTGGCCTGGGACTGGCTAGCACTTGGAAGAGATACATAAATAAGGCCCTGAAACTCCAGTTGACCGAGAAATAACTACAGGTCCTTGAGATGAGAAAAGTTCACATTTGACAATTTCCATACAATATTATTCTGTACATTGTTCAGTTGCAGATCTAAGGGAGAGGGTTATCATTTCAATTGCTGACCAAGAAAAACCAACCTTGTATTAAAGAAAAATAAAAAGCCTTTTGAAGTTCTGGGAGATTTTTCTCTAGATTTCTCCTGAAGTTGTGGGAGAGAGACTTATCTGGTAGATTACACTGAAGATGGTGGACTGACCACTTAGTTTTGTCTTGTTTTTTTTTTTAATTCATCTTCATCAGTAAGCCACAGGAAAGCCAATCAGTGGTGACAGCTGTATATAAAAAGTGGTTGAGCCAATATGCTAATGTTTTTTGTTTGTTTGTTTTTGTTTGTTTTGTTTTTTAAAGATTTTATTTATTTATTCGAGAGGGAGAGAATGAGAGATAGAGAGCACGAGAGGGAAGAGGGTCAGAGGGAGAAGCAGACTCCCCGCCGAGCAGGGAGCCCAATGCGGGACTCGATCCTGGGACTCCAGGATCATGACCTGAGCCGAAGGCAGTCGCTTAACCAACTGAGCCACCCAGGCGCCCCAATATGCTGATGTTTGAGAACACTTTTCTTAATGGTATGGGGGTATCTCTGATTTCCATGATTTGCTTGATCATTATTACCCTACTAACTTAGCAATACTTCTGTCACACATCATACTTTTACAAATGCTTTATCATACATTCCCTCATCTAATCAAACTATAGGTAAAGAGGAGGGCACAGAGGTGAAAGGAAACCAAAATAGTGGTCATCTGCCAAAATTTAAGCAGTTATCAGACAGTTCCAAGACTGGAATCTAGACCTCCTGGCTCTAATTTAGTCCTTGTCATTTCTAGCCAAAGATAATACAGCAATTAGGTTCCAAAACAATATCCTCTTAGAGGAAATATCCCAACTTTGAGAAAGTCTACTGCCTGATTTAAAAAAATAATATAATAATAATAAAAAAATTTTTTTAATTAAAAAATGATCATTAAGGAGGAACTGATTTGACGAAGAATGGTAGCAAGGGGACATGGTGATGACAGTGAAGAGTGGACTTCACAGCATGGCACTCAGTGAGCCATGTGAGCCAGCGTTTTCCACCCCCAGCCCAGGCACTGAAATGTCCGGGTAGCTCTTGCTGCTGCTTCTGTCATGCCACGTGACCAATGAAAACCGTAATTAAATAACTGTTGCACAGTGAGGATTCCTAGGTTTGTTGAGATGGTGGTCACAGCATGACCAAATAGGTGACTTTCTATTCCCTCCAAATCATCAAAACAGCTATTTTCTTATAAAATTCATCTCAACAAATATTGAGTACTTGCCATTATGTGCTATTCTGTACTAAACTTGGGGTTGAGGACATGGGGAGCAGGAAGAAGGAGAGAACACATCCAGTTTGGGAAATTAGGGAAGACTTCCTGGAGGAGAGAGCATTTGAGATGGACCTTGAATAATAGCTAGGTGAGTGGTTCTCAAAGTGTGGTTCCTGGACCAGTAATATCTATCACATCAGGAAACTTGTTAGAAATGCAAGTTCTTAAGCTCTATTCCAACTTTATCAAATAGAAGTTCTGGGGTCGGGAAGCCTGACATTCTGTTTTAATAAGTCATCCAAGGTGATTCTGATGCACTAAGTTTGAGAACCACCATGCTAGGATTTGGACAGGAAGAGATGATAGTTTCAGAAAAAAGGATTCAACCCAGCACATATACCAGATCATCCATTGTCACTTCCTACTAATCTTCCTGGATTTATCCTGACCTACATGCTCTCAGTCTGCTTTTAATTAATTATTATCCTTCACGCATTCCCCTCCTTTGATGGTTCCTAATCACTACATTCCTCTCATATCCCTAACCCCACTGTCTTCTCCACTTTTACTCAGTTTTACTCCCACTTAACTACCTGTGTTTCAGGCCCCTGCATGTTTCTACCAAACTTTTACCTCCCTCCCCATTTCTGTTCTTTGATCCCCATCTGTCCCTCTTAATTATCCTCAGCATATCTCTAGTCCTCATTTACCACTCACCACTCTGCCTTTGCACAGGACTGCCAGGCAACCCCCTGATCCACATCAGTGCCTTTTCCTCTCTTCTTAATCTGTTCCCAGATAATTTTTCTGCTACTGTCTTCCCTACTGGCCTCTTAAATCTCTTCCTTATATTGTCAATATACGTTTTGACGATGCCAAATATCTAGTTTGTACATTGTATGTTACTTTGTTTTTTATAACACATTTATAACATTTACGTGTTCGTTCTTCCATAGGCTTTGCTTCTTAAACCTAGACTAGGACATGTTTGTGTACTCTGTGTTACAGGTGATAAAACCAGAACTAAGAATGAAGCATTGTCCCAGAAGGAAGATTTGCCCAAGGACACGGAATTCCTTGGGAAGATAAATGACAGACTTAACAAAGACATTCCTCAACATCCTGAATCCAAAGATGCTATGGAAAGTGAGGGCAGATTAGAGTGGCAGCAGAGGGAAAGAAGACGCTATGCATGTGATGACTGTGGGAAAAGTTTCAGTCACAGCTCAGACCTTAGTAAGCACAGAAGGACTCACACTGGAGAGAAACCCTACAAATGCGATGAATGTGGAAAAGCCTTCATTCAACGTTCCCATCTCATTGGACACCACAGAGTGCACACTGGAGTGAAACCCTATAAATGTGAAGAATGTGGGAAGGATTTTAGTGGGCGCACAGGTCTTATTCAGCATCAGAGAATCCACACAGGTGAAAAACCCTATGAATGTGATGAGTGTGGGAGGCCCTTCCGTGTAAGTTCAGCCCTGATCAGACATCAAAGAATTCATACAGCAAATAAGCTCTACTAAGATGGTGAAGTAACAGAAGTTCTTTAGCTACTCAGGTCTCCTTCATTATCAGAGAATCTGCCTTAGGAACTATGAGTATCCTGAATATAGGCAAAGCTTCAGTCATCATTGAACATTTCTCTGGCACCCGAGAATCTACCTGAGAAAATTTCCTTTTATTTCTAAATTAGTTCAGTTTCATAGGAAGCATTAAGGTTATTTCAGAAAGCCTTGTCTGTTAACAGACTGCTCCCTTGCAACCCAAAATAACCATGTTTCTTGGTTGAAAGAGTGAATTCTACTTCTCAGCTTTCCTTTTTACTTGACTATTCTGTGTATGACATTAGGCAAAACAGTCACATTTTTCTCTGCCTTCATTTCCCCCTTCTGTAGAGGACACAGTAGAGACCAGGTATGTTGTATTAAGTTAAAGCTGCTTTTGAAATTAATAACTAAAACAATACTAAGTATTTATTTTCCATCACTACTGATATAATGGCCATTATAATGTGGTATAATCATTTTGTGGAATTTGTTTGCCAGTGCTAACAAAGAGGAAACTACCAAAAAAGAAGCAGGGTACGGAAAACATTCAAGTGGAAAGGAAAGCAGTAAGTGAGATGAGTAGGAGCTGCTGGGAAGAGGGATGACCGTAATGAGGATAAATCACTCCTCTTCTGAGTCTCAGGTTCCTGGAAACCGAGAGACGTGGGGAGGGATTGGTCCAGAACTGCACTGTCCAGTGGAGTAGCCAGTGCCCACCTATGGCTGTATAAATTTAAAATTAATTCACCCAAAGTAGAGAATCCTGTTCCTTAACCACATGTGGCTAGCAGCTACTGAACTGGACAGCACAGACACAGATCATTTTTATCATGGTGGAGAGGATGCTGCTGTCCTAATCAATCACCAGTAACATGTCTTCCAGCTTAGATATTGTGTGATTCTGAGTTCAGGAAGGTAGTAAAAGAAACACCTGAGGAGACTAGTAGCAACAGGAGATAAAACACAAACACTCTAAAAAAGGAATTTAGTAATAACTTTATGGCACTTTTCAGCCTTAAAAAAGGAGTATATTATAATTGGATGACTGAAGATTATTAAAGTAAATACAGTAACGTAATAATCTAAATTAAAAGCTTAAATTACTAAATCATCTCTAAAACAAGAGTTTAACTACCTTTACAAAGTAGCATCCCATCAGATACATATGCTGATAAGAAACTGGCCCTCTCAGGAGTTTAAGATAATAAACAGTCCAATTTTTTTGTTTGGCTTGGAAATGCATTAGCAGTCCATGTGCTTGCAACAGTTTTACATCCCTGGTTTGAAAATACCATAACATGACAGATACTGTGACCAGAGGCCCAGCACATTCAAATGTGCACCACCACCAAACCACCATGAATCACTGGTTCTAGGAATAGCCATCCCCAGGACAAGCAGGAAGGATCTAATCTCTTTCTGAAGACAGGAATTACACACACCTGCTTCTGTATTGTGACCGAGTAGTTAAACCACCACAGTCATTTCTGTGTCTTTACTACTGTTGTAACACCATAAACTGAACTTTTATGTCTTTTGAACGTAACACTGCTTTAAAAGAAATCTAAGTTTGATTGTCTACATCAACTGGTAGAAAATTTTAAAACATCAAGTCTCATACTCCTACTTGTTTTTATGACATAATTATCTGAGCAATATTTCAAAGCATTTGAAAGAAATGATTTTTTAATGGTCATGAAGAGAAAAGTAAAGTATTAAAAATCTTTAGTATTAGAAACATCCTTGTTTTAAAAATAAAGCTAGATGCTGAGTGATAGCTTTTCCCCCTTTACCTTTTTTGTCTTGCTGAGAAACAAGCGTAGAAGCTGTTGGCAGTCTCTGTAAAAGAAAAGCTCATACTTCTAATATGATCCCTTCTTGAATTTAGAGAGGCTTCTGCAATGGTAAGAAAGATGATTTTGGCTACAAGATTAGGTTTCCTAAAATTGGTAAAGACATGACAGACTGATTTTCCTTTATCATCCTCTATATGCTGTAACATTCTACTCAGATAGTTTTGAATACCACCTGTTAAGTACAAAGAATCATTCCAGTCTTCGAGTTGTATACCTTCAAAGGCTAGTCTGGAGCACTGAGACAGACCATGCTACCCTTTTTTAGGTTTGGTGTTGATTCTAAGTTGCCACCACAGTGTCCACCATCTGATAACAGAGGGAGGAAGAGAAATATATGCGGCCAGAGATAGCCTGGAGTGCTGCAGGCAAGAGAAACCTGGGATAAGTGCAGGCATAAGGCAAAGAATGCATGAGGTTAAAGATCTGAGTTGTTGCTGGTACCAGGAAGAAGCAGGTGTTGTCCAATAAGTGTGTAGAAAGAAACCCAAAGGAAAGAACTAGGGAGGGTGCTCAAGCACAGCCACAGTTATTGGAAAAGAAGATGTAATACGTTAGACACCGTAACCATAACTACAACCGCTTGGTTCTAGCAGAGAGCCATCCATTTAGGGCACCTGCTCTAAAAGAACCCAGTTTCTCAAACAGTTGTGTCAGAAGCATATGCATTGCTCCTCCATCTTTTTGGAGAGACGATTTTTTTTTTTCTTTTTTGAAGGAGGCAAGGAGTTGTAGTTTCGAGTTTTTGTGAACTAACAAGACAGCTGTGGTTGTAAGAGGCACCTAAAGGGAGTAGGGGGGCAGCTCTCTTAGACACTGATGGGGGGATGGTAGTGAACTGGTAATTCTGAATTAGGAGCCAACAGCTTTGAAGGGAGGAAACAGATTAGGCGCTGGGAGAGGAGGGGCTACTGGAGGTATGTATGGACATTGGTGAGGGAAGGGGAGTAAGATCAGGGGAAAGGGAGGAAGGGAGAAGATAAAAAGGAACAAGGGTACCAAGAGAAGAACAAAGATAAAACAAGAGATGGTGATAGGGAAAGAGGAGTGACGAGTAATCTAATACTGGCATCAGTCATGTTTGAGCCTGGGTCATAGGATGGATATAAGCCATGCGAAGAACAGATGAGCTCCTTATCCCAAGGTACACTGAATCTTATGAGCACAGCACGTATTATCTCTCTTTATCCAACAGGTCTCCATTCTCATCCTGAGCATGACATTACTTGTTGATAATCAAAAAGTCCATCAACAGTGAAAACACAACTAGAAACCTTGACATACTTCAACAAAACAAGCTCTTCTCCCCTAACTGATCCCACAAGGGAGTCATACTGAGGTTCTGAAGGGACAGCTAGCTCAGTCTTTCTTCCTCAAATCCTCTAGAGCAAGGTTTCTCCATCTTGGTTCTGCTGACATTTTCAGCCAGACAGTTCTTTGTAGTGCCCTGCCCCTGCAGTATAGGGCGTTTAGGGGTATTCCCAGCTTCCAGCCACTGGGTGCTACCACACCTCCTACCTGTGACAAGCAAGCATTTTTAGGATGGGGGACAAATGCCCCCTTGAGGGGCAAAATCACCCTCAGTTGAGAAACTGATCTATAGGAAAATAATCTAATTTCCATGACTGTTCCTCATCATATACAATAAGATTCTACGGAGATGGTGCATACAACCAGCACTGCTAGACCCTTTTTCTACCCCCAAAAAATGATTCCCAGAGTACCTAAGCTCTAAATAGCAATCATACTGAAAAATTAGTCTGCTTTAGGAAGCCATACCTCACTGCTGAAGACGAGAGGAATCTGCCCTCAAATGGGACTTGCATAGAGAGCTTACATTGCATTTTTTGACTTTCCTCTTCCTTCCCTGGCATACTTGTGGTGCTACCTACTCCTCTAACCCCTGACCCAACCATGAACAAAAATTTTTTTATTGAGATTTGCCCTATCCAGTACAGTAGCCATCCGGTACATATGGCTATGCAACTAAGAAACTACATTTTTTAATTAAATTTTAAAACATAATTCAGTTACTGGAAAACCTTTATGTTTGGTGTAATTTGGGTATGTGAATCTACTTTTAACATTTTAAATTTTGTATAATCTCAATAAAGTATTTTCAATGAAAATTTAATATCTGAATTGAGATATGCAATAAGTAGAAACACATCAGCTTTCAAAGATTTAGTATAAAAAAAGAATGTAAGATACTTCATTAATTTTTATATTGATTAGATATTAATATTTTGGATATACTGGTTTAAATAAAATATGTTATTAATATTAGTTTCACCTTTTACTTTTTTAATGTGGCTATTAGAAAACATTACATAGGTAGATCACATTATATTCCTATTTATTGGACTGCCTGATCAAGATCTCACCTCAGGGTACATCCCATTCTTTATGTTTCAAACCACTTTTTTTTTCTTTTGTCAGAGCGCATGCACAAGCAGTGGGGGCAGCAGGCAGAGGGAGAAGCAGGCTCCCCGCTGAGCAAGGAGCCCACTGGGGGACGGATCATGACCTGAGCCCAAGGCAGACGCTTAACTGAGTCACCCAGGCGTCCCTCAAACCACTTTAATTCTGTGAGACTAAGTTCTGTGATGCCAAGGACTTTTTACCTATTTCTTCTTATTGATTTGTTCGACAAGTATTTATTAAACACATGCTATGTGCTATAGAGACAAGGGCAGGCTGCCCCAAAACGTACCACTATGGCATACTGATTATTTTAAATAAAAGTTACTTAAAAGACAGCTGGTGCAAGAAGGATACTGAGATCTCCTCTGTGTCCCCCTGAAAGCAGGAAATAAATCTCCCATGTGAAAGGTCCCCGTCCTGTACCAGGAGGTAAGGAGACATCCTTATCACCAGAGGTAGGAAATTTAGAGCCCAGAAGGCTGTATAAACACCCCGTGTTACTGTTTACTAGTTTACCACCCCAGCCCAAATTCTGTTTAGAATTCCTTACTAATTGAACCTCCCAAAGCTAAGTTTTCTTTGTCCTGTCAAATCCTCACAGTTCTATTGTCTCCTGTCTGAAAAGTATAAAAACCACCTGCTTTGGTCATTTCTTTAGGTCTTAAGTTCGTTATTGGGCTTCCGTCTGG